ATCTTCTATGTTTAGGGGGTGCTCAGAGAGTCCCTTGGAAATGATAAATATGTTTGTTATCCAGAATTTTTTTTTTCTCTAAGCTCCTGGGAATTTTGTTCCAAGTTCAATACTTCAAAACTTATAGTAGAATTGATTGAAGTAGAAAGACTATGTAGCATTTCTTTTTCAACCTCTAATTGATCCTTACCTCTCTTCTTGGCACATGTAGCTAATGGAAAGTAAAATTTCAGTACTTATTTTGGAAGTGTATGTTTGTGTCACAATTCCTTTCAGTTAACTATAGAATCTATTTGATTTGCTTTTAGACAGGACTTATGTACAGTAGCTTGCCACAAAATCACATAGTATATAGAGAAGTTAAGTTACAAATGAGATAAACAGACAAACAAATGACCTGAACGGTGGTTGTGGTGACATAGACTTGCAGTCCCAACAGTAGGAAGGTAGAGGCAGGGGACCAGCCCAAGCCGCAGAATGAGACCCTGCCTCAGACAAACAAACAAACACCAGCTGGATTAAGACCTGAATGAACCCTCAAGTCCTTGTCACTCACTCTTAAGGTGTGGTGACTTTCCTTTTCCATCTCAAGGTCAAAACCCAATCTCCTGTAGCAAAACCAGGTTACCAGGCAAAGAACGGCGCTGGAGCTTCATAAACGATGACCCCAAACCAGGGAAGGTAGTTGTGGGGCTTAGGGTCGGTGAAGAAGGGACCGTGGTGGAGAGTGGCATAGCCGGGAATGGTCTAATGTACAGGCAGAGTGGGGAGACCAGCGTGGCCTGTCTGTTCAGTCTCTCAGTGTGCAGCAAGACACTGCTGAAATCTAGAGGAAAGAAACGAAGTTAAGTAAGGCGGGTCATCAGTAATCCCAGCACTCACTCAAGGCCAGCCCCGTCGACATAGAGCCTTTAATCATAACACATTTGGACACAGACACAGGTGGATCTTTGTGACTTCAAGGCCAACCTGGTCTACACAGTGAGTTCCAGCCAGAGCTACATAGTGAGGCCTTGTCTTGGGAACACACACCTGCCCCCCCCCCCAAAGGATATACTTTCACTCCTGTGGGTGCTGTGTAACCCAGGAGTGGCAGGTGCCTGCAGAGGCCAGGAGAGCCAGAACCGCAGGAGAGGGAGTTGTCTGCATGCGTGCGGGGTGGGAACTGAACTCGAGTCCTCTGGAAGAGTGGCGAGTGCTCTTAACCACTGAGCCCTCATCTTTGCAGCCTGTTTCTTTCTGCAGCTTCTCATTAGTCTCATTTCAGACACCTGGCCTTACTGCTTCCTCGTGCTGGGCTTACGGTGTGAGCCCACATGCCAGGCAGGTCTGTCTGATTTCTTCCTAGGCCTTTATTCCTCATGGTCTAGGGTAACATTCATAGCAGTTTATCAGTTTGTATTACATTGAAGCTCTACAATGACAAATTTTGTGTATTTGACCCTGGCTAGGGAAATGGCATTGCCTAGCATCACTGCTGAGCCCGGGGCACAGCTCCGCACAGCTGTCTCAGGTCCTTAGGTAAAGGTAAGTGGAGAAGCCTGGGCTGCTTTTGAAGTTTGGTTTGAGGCTGCTCCGTAATTTATAAAGGAGGGCAGACAAGGCAAACAGAGCAGGGTATAGAAAGGGAGCCAAGCAGGCTGTCTAGGACAGTAAACACAATGGCTTCTCCTTTGTGCGCCTCCCTCCTACCCTGAGACCCTTGTTAGAAGGAAGTTCAGGCAAGATAACTGGATTTAGGAACAACCACCATGAAGAAAGGCGGAGAGATAAAGCCTCGCTTTGCTTTGCGTTTAGGCCAGTTTGATTTGAATTTTCCTGCAGTCAGAGTTGGCAGGGTTAATGTGCACAGCTGAGAAACCCCACTGATGCCTTCTGGCAGCCCATATTGCAGATGCTGCTGTGTTAATTACCAAAGAAAACTGGATCAACTCACAGGTCCTTTAGCTGTCTCCCGGCAGCTGCTGCAGCTCAGGAGCAGGCTTCCTTCCTCCCTCCAGTGTCAGATGCAGCTTTTAATCTCTTCTTCAGAACTTGCTAAGACTGCATTGTAGGTTCTGAGAGCCTGGGGCTAGTTTAGTCACCTTTGATCTGTACTTAATAGTGAGTAGTTCAGGAGGAGCTAGCGTAAGTAAATTCATGTATAATCTAAAAATAAAAACAGCCGGGCATGGTGACACACACCTTTAGGAACCAGAGGCAGGTGGATCCCTGAGTGCGGGGCCAGCCTTATCTACTTAGTACCCAGGCTAGCCATGTCTATATAGACCCTATCTCAGAATAGCATTAACAACAACCAGGCCAGTTAAGATGAGAATGTAGAAGCAGAAAGATGGTGTGACTCTGCCAGTCCGTGGATGAGCAGTGTAAGTGTCAGGGGTCAGGGCCAGTAGACTGCCAGGACCAGTGATCATCCCAGGGCTGTCCCCACTGCCAGCTGCCCTCCTTGTCACGAAGCTGCCCAGAAAAGGAAGACATCCATCTGCTTTTGGCTCCATGTCTCTCATGTTGGAGATCAGTGGAAAAGCTAACCCTCATGGAGGGGCAGGGGGCTTGGAGAGTGATGGGGAAAACACGGGGGCAGCGATAGAGGCTCACCCAGCTCAGAAGGAACCCTGGCACGTGGAGCCCTGGCGAGTGCCACAAACAGGAAGCGGACTGGGCCCAGCCTCCGCCCCCTGCTATGGGTCACACCAGCCTCAGCCCCTGCCATGGGTCACACCAGCCTCCGCCCCCTGCCATGGGTCACACCAGCCTCAGCCCCTGCCGTGGGTCACACCAGCCTCCGCCCCCTGCCGTGGGTCACACCAGCCTCCGCCCCCTGCCATGGGTCACACCAGCCTCAGCCCCCTGCCGTGGGTCACACCAGCCTCCACCCCTGCCATAGCACATAGCACGGCTTTGGCTGCTCTGACTGCAGCAGCTCGGCTCTGCAGGCTATTTTTGTAGGAGAGATGGAACACGGGAGGATGATGATTTGGGTCAGATGAATAATGGGTGTGTCTCTGTGGCTTTGGCTGATGCAGCATGCTTTCTTGGCTTTCCTGTTGTTGATACTTTGTGTCAGAGGTGTCCTGAAGAGGCTCAGTGGGTTTTCTTTATTAGCACTCTGCTGCAGGGAGCAGCAGTGGCAAGCCTTAGGGCTGCTGGCCTGTTTTACTTCTGCCTTTGTGATAGGAAAGGCGAGGTTGTCAGTGCGAAGAGCCTTTTAGGTGAGAATCGGGGAAGGGCTAGGAAAAGAGGGGATGAGGACATGTAGACGAGAGTGAAGGCAGGCTAGCTGGCATCTTCCTTTCACATTCTGTGCTTCTGTTTTCTTCACAGCTACTCACTGTGCAGCGAGGGAGCCTGTTAGGAAGGGTGGCTCCCTTGAAACTTCATCACAACACTGTGCTTTGAACACATAGTAGGGTCACTTCTGTAGACAGCTCTTCATAACCAAGGGATTCTTACACAGGACAGACACATCATTTTCAGTGCTGTCAGCCATTGTGTTGGGTGCTGAGGATGCAGAGAAATAGAAAGTTCTTCATGCTCTGACTCTTAGAAGCACTTACTAACGGGAGAGCCTCTGCGCTGGATGGTAACATTGCACAGACCATTGTTTGTACCTTCCTTGGTTTAGAGTGTACGGCAGGGTTAGACCAGTGAGTAGCCTGGTGTGGTCTACTCCTGTGCTTCTTAGACAGCTGGGACAGAAGCAGGTACTCAGGAAATGCTCTCTAGGCTTTCAGAGGAACTACGCCTTCCCCAGGAGAGCAGGGTTCCCATTTCTAGTGTGCTAATGTGTGTGCTGAGGCCATCATACCTAGACATGAAACAGAGGACCATAATAAATGCAGAGAGGGACTTAGGGAGGTCAGACCTCTTGAACCTTTCTGATGATGCTACTTGTGGAGGTTAAGGGAGCATGAGGCAGGTACATTCAGAAGAACTACTTTTTCAGTGAGTCAGGCCTCTTGCCTCATGAACAAAACAATACCACAAGTGGTTTGATATCCTGTATTGTTAGGTGACTAAGGCAAATAGTATCTCAGTATTACCACCTTAAGCTTAAATTATGACGTGTGTGTTTGGCTCAGAGATTGGCTTCCCCAAATCTTAGATGGTGGCAGACTCCATTGCTGAGGAAGTTTGGGACCGAGAAAATTCTTCCTTGAGCATTTCCAGGAACCAGTTCCCAGCAGGTTTTTAAGCTTTTCAGCCTGCACAACTCTACTGAAATCTGTTTGAGGAAGTGAGCCCTTTAGGTGAATGGTGGTATCCCCAAAGGAGATTAGTTTTGAGATTACGTCTCTTAGATTTGCCTGGATTTTACCCTGCTTGGGCAGGGTTGTCCATTTGTCTTATGTTGTCCGTTTTTCTTACTCATGGTCTTGTCAGCCATCATCAGAAAGAATATGAGTTCATTGGGGAATGTACATCCCAATTAAGCATCCAGTACCTCAAGACAACTAGGCAGCTGGGTGCCGTTGTTGGCTGTCAGGGTGATGAACTGGAAAATGCTTTTGCGCTCATGTCATTTTGTAGAGGTTGTTACTGCCCCCCCATGTGTGTCCCTATCAGCATATAGGCATAAAATAAGTTTAAACGAGGAGCACAAGCTAAAACTGTATAGGGTAGGGACTTAAAGGGGCTGTGAATTCAAGTCTTTCACCTTCGGTCAGAGGAAGCTTTCAGTGTGATACATTTAGATACAGTTTCTTCTTGGACTCAGACCCTAGTTATTGCCGTGTAATATCTGGTGTTTTGTGATGGAATCCTTGTGAGCTGCCCCTCCACTGTGCAAAGGGGGAGGGACTGTCAGATCACTGTTACCTTCTGTTTCCCTGTGATAGGCTGGCCAGGTGGACATTTGACAGTTGAAGGACATTTCCCGGTGCCTCCTTTAACCACAAGTTTCCTGGAAAACTCCCTCTAGGACGGTGCCCTTTAGTGGGGTCTCTGGAAGTCACTCTTATCTACATCTTTTTCCTCTACCCTCCCCATCCCCGACCCAGGCCAGCTGAGCTGCATTTCCTTCCCACCCAAGGAAGAGAAGTATCTCGAGCAGGCTGTGGACTGCCTTCCCTGTATATTGATCCTCGGCCAGGACTGTAACGCCAAGCGCCAGCTGCTGAACCTGCTGTTGGGGGTGCAGGTGCTTCCCACCATCAAGCTGGACGGTGATGAGAGCTGTAAGCTCCGGAGACTCCGCTTCACCTATGGGACCCAGACTCGGGTCAGCCTGGCACTCCCCGGCCAGTATGAACTGGTGCACACGCTGGCTGCACACCAGAGCAACTGGGAGACCATCCCTGAGGAGGACTTGGAGGTTCAGGAAGACAGCGAGGATGCCGCTCATGTTTTAGCTGAGCTGGAGGTGACAATGCATCACGCTCTCCTACAGGTACCGGCCTTGCACGTATGTCTGCACCAGCTTCTTTTCTGACATTTTTAGAAAGGAGTCTGGTGCTGTGTATTCTGAAAGGAGCATAGAATGAGAGGAATGTGGTCCACGAAGCTGACTGGCAGGCAGTAGCAGTTTGACGCCTGCCTCTGCTCATCATTCCTGGGGAATGTTCGCCTCCATCAGACAGGTAGGGATATGTGATTGTTGCATCTCGACAAGTTCTTACAGAGTAGTTATCAAAGTTATCAAAGAAAGCCTTTTTGTTTCTTGCCGTCCCTTTCTAAATGGGCGGTGATATGATGAAAAATTAATACTCTTAGTAGAACTGAGACCATGTGAAAAATGGTATTGCTGCTTCTCAGTACTAGCTGTTAATTTACTGAGTGAGTGGGACAGTTCATGTCCCCAACCTTATAAGGAACCCGGGTCTGGTTCATTATAAGGGGGCAAAGCATCCCTATCATTTGGAGAACACCTGGCTTCTTTTTCTGTAAACCCCTAAAGAAGCGTATGTGTGTTGTCTCTCCATCGTTCCCGCCTTCACACAAGAAGGACTCGTCTCTTTTTCTGCCCTTCATTTGCTACTAAGTAGTTAGGACTAGGCCATGGCTAGACAGAAATGGGCATTGGCAAAGGATGTGATGATTGGGGTCAGACCAGGTAGGATTAAAAGAACATGATAATGCTCAAAATTCGGGGTTCATCACCTTGTTTGACTGCTAGACAGGATGGGCCAGTTTGGCCAACTTGGGAGAGTGCATCTGCCTTTGTTAGTGCCTCTCTCTCCATCCACCTCTCCTCCAAGAGACTCGGTGTCAGCCAGCAACTGTGGCCTCTAACAGGGACAATCTTCTCATTTCCTCCTACGGTTCTTCTCTCTTATATGTGGAGTGGGCTATGTAACAATCCACATTTTCTCTCTCAGTTCAGCTTTAGTGGTGGGCTTCCTCTGTTTTCAGACACTTTACTACCGAGCTACATAGCAGCCCTATTTGATTTAAGTGTGTGTGTGCGTGCTTGTACGCATACGTATATGTGTTTGGTGTATGGGAAGAAGCCAGAGCATTATGTCAGATGCTCATCAATCATTCTACACACATACTACACACACACACATGCACGCACACTCACACATGCACAGGAGCGTGCGCGCGCACACACACACACACACACACACAGATTATAATTGAGGAGGGTACTGGGATTACAATACTAGAGTAGCTTTTTCTTGGCACAGTTAAAATGAAGATTCTCACTCTTCCTGAGAAGTTCTCAAGTTTCTCCTGCCTTTTCCTGTGGATGATAAGATTTCCTTTATGCAGTTTCTCCAGATCTGCTTTCTTCTGCAGTGCTCTGATGTGGGGCTGGGAGCAGACTCCGGGACTGTAAGCGTAGCCTCCTGTCATGCTGGGGGCTTTGTGACCTCTGTGGGTTTGGCTGCCACTCTCTTCACCACAGGCTTTCATCTGCCAGTAATCAAGGGTTCTGAGCTCACTGCTGGGAGCAGGGCACAGCTACCTGGAGAGTGCACATGCCCGTGAGAAAGATATTTTGTTCGGCTCCAGTTATATTTAGGATCAATGAGTTCATGCTTCTGTTTGATTTGGAGAGGGGGTGGTAAATAAAGGAAACATTTAGCTAAAGGAAACCAAAATTGAATTAGGGGAAATGGATGTCCCTTTGAGCTGTCAAACTATCAAGGCAGAATTTCCCCCTGCCCTATTATACAATGGTCATTTTTCTAATATGTTAAAGTCCTCACAACCTCATCATTTTCAGCATATTCCAAGAGACCAACTGAAATCAACTCACACTGGGTGGTACTTCCAGCTTGTTCGTCTAGATCCCCTGAGATTCCTGGTTTACACTTTAATAAGAGGAATAAGGGGTCAGATCATTAGTATTTGAGACCTTATCTAGTGTTCAGATGTGGCTTTTTCCCCAGTTGGCAGTGCATTTCATAACTCCTAATATACAGTATTTTATATGCAGAAACACTTTCCCTTCCCAACCCCCACTCACTTTCTAGCATCTGCATCTACCATCTTCTTTAAAAGTCTCCTCTTACAGGGCTTGCACAGTCCTGTAAGTGTGTGTGTGTGTGTGTGTGTATCTGTGTGGTGTCTATGTGTGTGTGCCTGTGTGTGTGGTGTCTGTGTATGTGTGCTTGTGTATGTGGTGCGTCTGTGTGGTGTCTGTGTGTGTGTGTGTGTGTGTGTGTGTGTGTGTGTGTATGTGGTGTGTCTGGTATCTGTGTGTTATGTGTATGTGTGTACGTGGTGTGTCTGTGTGTGTGTCTGTGTGTGTATGTGGTGTCTGTGGTGTCTGTGTGTGCTTGTGTATGTGTATGTGTGTGTGGTTGTCTGTGTGTGTCGTCTGTGTGTGGTGTGTGTATGTGGTGTGTCTGTGTGTGGTGTGTATGTGTGAGTGTGTGTGTTTGTCGTCTGTGTGTAGTGTATGTGTGTGTGTCTGTGTGTATGTGTGGTGTCTGTGTGTGGTGTGTATGTGAGTGTTTGTCGTCTGTGTGGTGTGTGTGTGTAAGTGGTGTGTCTGTGTGTGTGTGTCTGTGTGTGTATGTGGTGTGTCTGTGTGTGGTGTGTATGTGTGTGTGTGTGTGATCTGTGTGTGGTGTGTGTATGTGGTGTGTCTGTGTGTGGTGTGTATGTGTGTGTGTGATCTGTGTGTGGTGTGTGTATGTGGTGTGTCTGTGTGTGTGTCCGTGTGTGTCTGTGTGTGTATGTGGTGTGTCTGTGTGTGGTGTGTGTGTGAGTGGTCTGTGTATGTCTGTGTGTGTATGTGGTATGTCTGTGTGTGGTGTGTATGTGTGTGTGTTTCGTCTGTGTGTGGTGTGTGTATGTGGTGTGTCTGTGTGTGTCTGTGTGTGTATGTGGTATGTCTGTGTGTGGTGTGTATGTGTGTGTGTTTCGTCTGTGTGTGGTGTGTGTATGTGGTGTGTCTGTGTGTGTCTGTGTGTGTATGTGGTATGTCTGTGTGTGGTGTGTATGTGTGTGTGTTTCATCTGTGTGTGGTGTGTGTATGTGGTGTGTCTGTGTGTGTCTGTGTGTGTATGTGGTATGTCTGTGTGTGGTGTGTATGTGTATGTGGTGTGTCTGTGTGTGGTGTGTATGTGTGTGTGTGAGTGTGTGAGTGGTCTGTGTGTGGTGTGTGTATGTGGTGTGTCTGTGTGTATGTGGTGTGTCTGTGTGTATGTGGTGTGTCTGTGTGTGTGTGTTGTCTGTGTGTGGTGTGTATGTGAGTGTGTGTGTGATCTGTGTGTGGTATGTCTGTGTGTGTCTGTGTGTGTATGTGGTATGTCTGTGTGTGGTGTGTATGTGTGTCTGTGTGTGGTGTGTGTATGTGGTGTGTCTGTGTGTGTGTGGTGTGTCTGTGTGTGGTGTGTGTGTGAGTGGTCTGTGTGTGGTGTGTGTATGTGGTGTGTCTGTGTGTATGTGGTGTGTCTGTGTGTGGTGTGTATGTGTGTGTGTGTGTTGTCTGTGTGTGGTGTGTATGTGAGTGTGTGTGTGATCTGTGTGTGGTATGTCTGTGTGGTGTGTATGTGTGTCTGTGTGTGTCTGTGTGTGGTGTGTGTATGTGGTGTGTCTGTGTGTGTCTGTATGTGTGGTGTGTCTGTGTGTGGTGTGTGTGTGAGTGGTCTGTGTGTGGTGTGTGTATGAATCCTGTGTGAAGATGGAATTGCTCAATCTGAGAGGATCCCTCAGCTCAGCAATGCTTCCTTTACTGTGACCGTTACATAATTTCAGTTGCTCCGGGCTTGCTCTTCCTCTTTTGCTCCCCCTCCTTCTCTTCCCCTCCTCCATCATCAGCAGCAGCAGCGTTATTTGCTTTGTACAGGCTGGCCTGGAACTTACAATTCTTCTGCCATAGCCTACCACATGCTTGGGATTTTAAATACGAGCCACAACAGCTAGCTGTGTTGTTTTGCCCTGTTCAGTAGCCTGCTCATCCCCACAGGTATTTCCTGGCCTTTGGGAAATGTACATGTCACCTCAACTAGCCTGCCACACAGCTGGATTGGTGGCATAGTTATTGGCTCACATGATGTCTGGTGAGATACTTCAGGGAACAGAGGAAGACTAATACTTCCAGAAATGGTCTTACTTACTTTGCAAATATTTGTAACTAACTGGTTACAGTGGTAAATATTTCTCTTTGTAACCATCAACTACTAGCCATCGGTGGGAATAACCTGTTTTTAATACATATACTGATTTTTAATTATATTTTAGCAGTTAATGCTTTAAAAATCCAGTCGCCACAAAGCATCATGAGAGAACAAAAAATTTATACAAAATTTTAACCCTGAAATTTCCTGATTGTTTCCAGAAGACTCACTTTTCTCACATTCTGGCTAGTTATTGGAAATTATTCTGGTGCCTAATAAAACAAACATTGTGTGTTACCTGTCTTAGTCAGGGTTCCTATAGCTGCCATGAAACACCATGACCAAAAAGCAAGTTGGGGAAGAAAGGGTTTATTTGGCTTATTTGGCTGGTGGTCTTGTGTTCTGTGAGAAAACAGGCTGAGCAATACAAGGGATGCAAGTCAGTGAGCAGCACCCTCCTTGGCCTCTGCATCAGCTCCTGCCTCCAGGTTTCTGCCCTGTTTGAGTTCCTGTTCTGATTTTCTTCAGTGATGGACAGTGATACAGAAGAGTAAGCCAAATAAACCCTTTCTTAGGAATCTGTCTTTTCTCAGTTCACTGTTCGTTTGCCTTTGACCTTCCAAGCTAACTCTTGGAGGTTATCTGACAGTTTAAAGTCTTAATCTTCTCCCTTTGCTACCACTATCCTGCACAATACTGTCCCCCCCCCCCTTTCAAAACCTGTTATGTCTCCCTCTGAGGAAAGGCTAGTGTGGGGAGGGAGTCTACTCATTCTCAAGAGACTGAATAAATTGTCAGTAGGCAGGAACTTGATTTTAAGGTTCTTGAGAATATTTTCTCTGATTTCTTTTGAGATACCTCTGCCAGTTTTAGA